AGCCATCTCAACAGGGCGAGGTCCAGCTGAGAGAAGCAGGACCTGGCAGGAGCCATGCCAAGCCTTGGAAGCAAACATTCTGCCCATGGAGCGAGCGATGACCTGAGGAAACCGGGCGGCCTCCCAGCCCACGGTCCTGTGCCAGTTCCTTCTCCATGCACCACATGCACCTGCAGGCCCCCACACCTTGCCATGGCTCTTCCTTCAGCCTGTGACTCCACAAGCATCCTGCCCAGAGGAAAGGCAGACGTGACCTTTGTCCTCATTCTCCTGCCAGCCCTCGGGGAACCCCTGGAAGGCCCAGGGACACCGTGGGTCTGGAGCCTCGGACATCAGGTGCTCAGGGAGCTTGCACCCAGCACCCATCTCCTCCAGGATCTTCTCTCCCCCAACCTCGCGCCCATGGATAAGAAGGCACTGGTGAGGCCACCTCCTTGTCCCCTACTCAAATCATCCCAGAGCACCTGCTCTGCAGGAAGCCCCTCTTACACTCCACAGAACCACACAGCAGCCGACTGGCTTAGCCCTGCACAGCTTCCTGCCTTCTCTCCTCCTTTCTATGCGGCTGGGCTGCGCTACTGTCGTCATGGCAACCGCTCACGTGGGTCCAGACACCTTCAAGAGGCGGGACTAGGAACCCCAAGCTCCTGGGCTCTTCTTCACCCTGGCCTGGGGTAGAGCTTAGTGCCTTTTCCCTGGAGGATTGCAGGGGGGAAAGTGAACATCTTGGGGGCATCGGCAAACTGGTTTTGGTTGAGATCCCCAGGCCCAGCTGGGGTCAATGAAGAGGAAGATTGTGTGTGGTCTGGGATACTAGTGTGGTTTCTCATTGCTCTGCATCTACATAGGCCCTCTTTAAGCCATCTGGGACATTCTCAAGGTTTAATTATCTTAAGTATGCACACAGCCCATTCCTAAGGGTAGGAACGGGCCGTGCCAGGGTCCCTTCTGTTCATAAACAGGGAACAGCCACAGAGGAGGTCACAGAGATTAGGACTTCTGCACCGGGAAGGCAGCCACCGGCCCCGCGCCAGACGCAGGCCAAGCAGGGACCCGGCGGTCTTCCTCTCCTGCCTGGGATTCCTGGAGCTGGCCCGTTTCCCTGGGGTCCCATCCCACAGACTTCCAAGCTCCTAGGGTCCCCCAGTGAGGCCCTCCTTACCCAAGGTTAGAGAAGGGACAGGGAGCCGGCCCAGCCATCTGGGCCCCAGCTGGTTTCTGGGAAGGGGATGACAGGTCTTCCGCTCTCCCTTCTTATTCCAGAAAGTTCCTGTTTGGGGCTGCGTTACCCACCCACCCCCTCAGAAATTGGGTCTTGGCAGTTTCTTGGGCTTGAAACGGTACCAGGGAGCAAGAGTAACCTGACCCTGGGCTCACAGAGCAGGCCAACACCTAGTGTCTTCAGCCCCCATCCTGATGGCAAGCCAGCCATCCTCTCCCCTCCAGCCACCCTGCGGTCTCCTAGGGGCCTGCCCTGAGCCCTCGACACCCTTTCGGGCCCCGGGAGACAGAGCTGCCCCAGTGTCCCCATCTGCCCCCACCTCCACCTGCATATAGGCGAAAAGCCTGGCCTGGAAGGGATCAGCTCCCCAGAGACCAAGTGGACGTCAAGCACTGCCCTCCCAGGGCATGACCCCGCCCTCCCCGCCGCCGCCTGCCTTCGGTCCTTTCAGCTGGACAGAGTCCACCACGCCTGGCAGACTGCCCACCCTTCTCCCTCCCTCAGGGAGCAGAGGCTCAGCCCTTCGGAGGGGACATCAGAGCAGCTCTGCTGACCCCTGCCCTTGGTCAGGCCCCTCATCTGCTGACCCTCACCCTTCCCCATCAGGTCTCCTAGGAGCTGTGACTTCCGCCACCAACTCAGAGATGGCTTTAGGTCCTCAGTGACCTCTCTCAACTTTTTTGTTGTTGTTGTTAGAAAGACAAACAGAGAAACACTCCCATGAGCAGGTTCACTCCCGTGATGCCTGCAAAGGCCAGTGCTGAGCCAGGCTGAAGCCCGAAGCCAGGAACTCAATCCAAGTCTCCCACAAGGGTGGCAGGGACCCAACCACTTGAGCCAGCGTCTGCTGTCCCTCAACCCCTTGGATCCTGCACTTCCCCACCTGGAAAGCAAAGCAGGCGCTCTGTCCTCTCCCTCCAGGGAGCAGAGGGGCACTGGTGCGGGTGTGCTTTGCCAGCGACAACTGCTGGGCAGGAACAGGGGGCCAGAGCTCAGCCGCCCCCGCCCCCCAGCCAGTTCCCGGCTACCGGTCAGGGTTTCTGCGGCGACCACCTCTTGAGAGGCAGTCAGGAGGACCTGCAAGGACAGCTCCCCGGGCCATGTTGGGGCTTCCCGGACCCGGGAGGCCCAGGCCAGCTAAGTCAGCTAGGTCTGCCTCCTGCTACCCTCCCCAGGGCAAGGGGAAGGCCCCTTCCTTCCCCACCCTCCCTTCAGTCTTCAGCCTGCCTGGTGCTCCTCCCTGTGCCTCCATCCCAATCCCATTACCACCTCCTGGGAGACGCCTAAGGGAGGCCCCCCTCCCAGTCCCATCACAGGTCCCATTGCGTTTTCTCCACAGTCCTCCTTCCAGTCTGTCTTCCGCCCATTAGACTGTAAGCCCCTCCAGGGGCAGGGCCCAGCACACACCCCTGGCGCCTTTGCCAATGAGGCTGCCTGTGGACAGCTTCTGCGCTCACTGTCCCACCCCCACTGGCCTGCCAAGGTGGGGGCTCTCAGGAGGGCTCCAGGGAGAAAAGGCAGCTCTCCCCCTTTGCCTGTCTGGGCTGCCCCCACAGCTCCCTACACAGATTCAGTCTCTGAATCACACTCCATCCGGCTTCGCCTTCTCCAGGGCCGCAGGACCAGCTCTCCCTGCTTTGCCCACTTGCCAGCTGCTTGGCCCACAGCCCCTTGCTCGGCCCCGCCCCTTCACACGCTCACGGACACGCCCCTCCCCAGCCCCCAGCCAGCCAGGTACCCGCAAGGCTCGGGTCCCCAGGCGCCCGAGCCAGAGGACCCACATCCCAGCCCTGCCCCGCAACAAGTCCGCGCAGCCGTGGGCTCGCCGGGTTCCGGCCTCGTAGCGGTCCCGCCGCGGCCCAGCACGGCTGTACTGCGCCCGGGCCCCGCAGCCTTGCGTGCAGCACATCTCGGGTCCAGACCTCTGCGGGAGGTGGGGGCTGGGGGGCAGACCCTCTCCGGGGAAAGTCAGCACAGTCCCGAGCCGCTCCCGGCTTTCAGCACACACTCCTCAGGCCCGGAGAACAATGGAGCAGCTCTCCGTGCTTCCTCCGCCTGGAGCGAGCTTTGTCCCTCCCTTCCCGCCTGTTCGGTTTCCATCAGCCACGGGGCAAAGGCTTCCCGGTCCTCCGGGAGTCACGGTGCAAAGGCCCAGACCTTTCCACACGCCCCAGAAATCCTGGGGGTGGAGGGGGGGCAGGGGCTGAGGTGGAGGAGTGCGTCCAGATGCGTGCAGCTGGCTGCTGGCCCGCCCCTGGCCCCAGCCGGGGCTCCTTGCCAGAACCCCCACACCCGGGAAATCCGCCCCGCACTGCCCCCCGGGATCCGCAGAGGAAGTGGGGCCTCGGCGGCACTGCGGGCCCGCCAGCCGCACATCTGCCGTCCTCACATCTGTGTCTCTATCCGGGCTCTGGCCGGACACTCCCCTCGCAGCGCTGGGCGCTCCGGTGCCAGCCCAGACCACACCACCACCGAGGGCTCCACCGGCCCAGATTTTTTTTTTTGCCATCTCGGGATTCTGGGCTTTGAAATTCAAGGAGGCTGAGGGCGCTCGGCCTGAGAACCTAGGACCCCCAGCCGCTGGTGCCGCCTCCCCTCCAGGAGACCAGGGTGGAGCTGCGACCCAGGCCCCCGGTAACACATCTGGAGCTGGGCCAGCTCGGCACATCTGGGCTCCACGCCGCTCCCACCCTGTCCCTCGATCTGGACAGTTCTGAGAGGGGGAGCCGCGCTTCCCCGCGCCTACCCCAGCAGCTGAGAAAGCCCAGGGCGGGGTGGGGCGGGGCAGCAGGACTCACCCAGCATCTGGCTGAACAGCAGCTGTTCCAGGTCGCCCAGCACCGTGACCACGAGCTCAGGGTCCACCTTGAGGAAAGCGCGCTCCTCCTGGCCCTTCGCGGAGGGCACCGGCCCCGAGCCCTTTTGCGCCTTGGCCTTGCTGGAAAGCAGCTCGTCGTCCGACTTGCCGTCGTCGCTCACGGCCGCCTCTGGCGCCTTGCTGAGCGGCTTGACCTCTGCGTAGGGTCCGCGCGGGATCCGGCTCGGCTTTCCCAGGCTGGGCGCGAGCGGGGCCAGGGGGGTCTTGGCGCCGCCCGCCGGGGCGCCCTTGGCCTGGAAGAGCGAGTGCTCTGACTTGGACAGCGTCTTGGACATCAGCGGAGCGTCGCGGCCCTTGGAGCCCAGCTTGCCCAAACCCTTGGGCGCCTTGGCCATGTCGTCGCTCCATGCCGGCTCACACAGCTGCAGCTTCTTCTCGGAGTCGGTGAGGAACGAGAGGTTGGTGAGCGACTTCTGCTTGCGCAGGTTGGAGGCCGGCGGCCCGCCGGGGACACGGCTGTCCACACTGCCGGACTTGAAGACCTTCAGCTCGGCCGCGCTCGTCTTGGCCATGCCGCCGCCGCCGCCGGGCGCCTTGGCGCGCTTGGGCAGCATGCCTCTGCCGTCCGCCGCGGCCGCCTTCCTGCCCGCGCCCCGCGCCTCGTCCGCGCCCTCGTCGCCGCCGCCGCCGCCGCCGCTCAGCTCCACCTCGGGCTGCGCGCTCTTGACGCCGCTGCCCAGCATTCTGCCCGCGAGGAGCGCATGGACGATCCGCGCGTCTGCAGGCACCGGGGGAGGGGGCGGGGGCGGGGGCGCGGGGAGGAGGGGGCGGGGGAGAGAAAGGACGGAAGAACCGGGGGAAGAAGGGGCGAGCAGGAGGAGGGAGCACGGGAGGAGGGGGAGGCGAGCCGGGGACGCAGGGGAAAGAGACGCGAGGAAGGAAGCCGGGGAAAAGGGAAGAGCGAGCAAGCCGCGGAGCGATGGGGCGGGGTCGGGGGGAAAGGGGCGGGGCGGAGAGAACACAAATTAAAATTTAGAAATCAGTCAAAGGCAGCAAGGAAGCCCCGCGGCCCCGTGGAAGCCCGGAGGTGCGGGGCGCCCGGATCCCGGCCCCCGGCCCGCCCGGCGATCCGCGGGCAGCGCCCTCGCCGCCTGCTCGGGTGGAGGCTGCGGGCTGCAGCTCGGAGCCGCGGCAGGCGGGGAGGGAAGGCGGGAGCGCACAGGAGGAGGGGAGGAGTGTGTGCGAGGGGCGGAGGTGGGGGAGAGAGCTGTGTCTATTTCTGGCTCGCGAGGGGAGGTATCTGCGAGCCCAGCTTCGGTGGCGGGTGGTGGGGGTAGGAGGAGAGAAAGGGTCCCACCCGTTTTTTTCGTTTTTTTCTTTTTTTTTCTCCAAGCTGTCCAGCAGATGGGGCAAGCTCTCAGAGGACACGGGCGGCCCCCTGCCGAGTCCAGGAGAAAGGCTCCGCTGAGCAGACCTGGGGTGCAGGTAAAAGGCCTGAGAGAGCACGGTTCCAGCATCCCTTGCAGCCTGGGAGACAGATTGGGAAGTGGGCGGGGAAGGGATACCCAGGTTGCTAGATCTGCGCCCCTCCCCCACCCCAAACCATCATGGGGTTCTTCCCCCAGGAAACTCCAACCCTAGCGGACTTCAATTTCTGGGGCACCAGGTGGCCCTCCTGAGCCCAGGAGGTAGGGGATACAGGGTAGGACAGGGGTGGCTTGGCGAGAGGAGGGGGCTGCGGGCACGGAAGGAAAGACTACTCCTGGGAGACTGAGCTCCCGTTCCAATTGCCTGTGTGACCTTGTCAAAGTCACTGCACCCTCCGACTCCACCATCTCACAGTGGTTGTGGTGTTACGGTGCGGGTGCCAGCCGGGGGGGGAACCAGGGACTCAGCCCTGAGCCTTGCCTGTCAGAACTAAAGCAGGGCTTCAGGGCAGTTTAAACACACGTCCTCCCGCCCCTCCTCCCCAGGCCCAGGGAGCCGGCCAGCACTGAGGGAGGCAGCAGTTGGTCCGGGCCCGCCCCTCTGCACACCTGCCCACAGCCTCTCAAGTCAGGGCCAGGTTTGCTGAGTAGACGGCTTCCAGGAGAGGTGAGGACAATGTGGAGGGGAATTCTGCAAGAGCAAAGCCCGCTCCAGGATGGACACACATGAACGCACACCCATGCAGGCATGGGAGACTGCAGAGCCCTAAGCACTCTACCAGAAGTAGCTAACCTACGGGGTCTGAGCCTCAGGGGTCACACATTCTCCCTCCCAGCACCAACCACTACAATGCACCTGCTGCGAGAGGGCTTGTGTCTGGGCGCAGGAGCTCTCAGAGGCCAGAACTGTGTCTCTCAACACCCTGCCTGGAGCAGGTGCTGCACCCACATTGGTTAAACGGGTTCAGAGGCCTGAGCGCTGTACACTGGGTCTGTGCCCCGGCCCCGCCTAAGCTCTCCCAGGACTCTGCCTCCCATGATCCTTTGCGGGATCCAGGTACTGCAAAACCTGCCAGGACAGGGGTCCCAGAGAATGTGTGGCTCCCACAGTACTGAGGACAGAGATCCCGACTGGAGAGCTGGTGCTAAGACGTGTGGACCCCCGCTTGGGCCTTGGAGATTCTGCCTTCAAGGAACTCAGTGTGTGGCAGGGAATACCAGACAGAAAATGCAAGTCACCCGGTACCTGTGCAAAGCAAGGTCACAAGCAAGGACACAGTCGTCACAGGTGAGTGTGTCCTAATGCCAGGAATGTCGAGGCACTGCCTCAGAGGAGTGGAGGAGAGGAGCTGAGTGCAAGGACCCACCGGGAAGCCCCGGGGCAGACTGGCCTGGGAGGGCCTGTGGTTCCTGGTAGGAAACCGAGCGACGTGGAACTGGCTCACGGAATGCCTGTACTCCTGTGCCTGAACTGGCCAGGACACAGAGAGCACCCGACACAGGAGGCCTCTCATGGGACTTTCTCTCTGGGCACCCAGGAGGGACCCAGACACGCGTCACAGCGCACGCGAGGGCTGCAGCCCTGGCCTGGGTGCCAAATCTGCTTCAGTATGACCGCACGCTTCTTCCCCATCCCACTGGTGATGAAGGCGCAAACCATCACTCCTAAGGTCCTCATCCTTACCCACCGGTCACTCTCTGCTTTACACAAGACCCCCCCCCCCCCCCAATCAACTGTACGGGAGCAATCAGACCTGCCAATCCCTCCTTAGCAAACACCAGGAACTGGTTACCATCCAGGCTGGGAACGCTGCGGGCGAAGCGTCCTGCCCCTTCCCCTGGTTAAATCCAGCCCCTCACGGCTGCCGAGGACCCGTATCTGGGGTTAGCGCCTCTCAATACTTTAGATGCACTGTGGGACACTGCTCCACTCAGTGCCCTGCCTACCTGTGCATTCTTGTTGCTGGATGCCCTCTGCCCCCAGGACCTGACCTGCCTCCCTTCCGCCCTCACTATTTCCCTGGACTTCAGGTGGGTCACTTCCCCTCGCCGCGTTCCTCTGTAGCCCCTCTCAGGAGGGATCACAGCCCCCAAACCCCAAGTCCCTTCCCTTCCTTCAGCAAACAGCTCCTGGAATTCTGCAGGTTTGGAGCCAGGAAGAGATGGCTATGCACAGACAGGCACCGGCCACTCTGTACCGTCTGAACCGAGTGCCCCTCACTCTGTCCTGTGCGACACGTCACCTGCCAGTTTATGGGATGGAAAACACTCTGTGAGCACCTCGTGGGTGCCAGTGGCCCCTCTGTCCTCCGTACCGCTGGCCTTTGCATGGTCATTCTTGAAAGCAGGGGTGGGAACCTACTCAAAATCACTGGGTCTGGCCCTGCCAAAGACTCAAAATTCAGTAAATCTACAGCAGGCTCATTTTTAAGCTGGTCAGTTTGTGTGGCCAACAAGTGCTGTTACAAATACCCAAATGGCTCTGGGCAGAAGAGAAAGTTCCTCAACCCTGGCTTCAAGGGTCTGGCCACAGTCAGGTGGTGGTCCCTTTAAATAGTCACCCTGGCATCCCGGAACTTTCTGATGCTCCCTACTGCCACCTCTGTCTGGCTCTTTTTTGATTCCTTTCACATCCCCGGAATTTCCCACCATCCTCCACTGCAGTGGGAGCACTCTGCTGCCGTGGCAACGGCCATTCCAGCATCAGTCGATAAAGCCAATATGTACAGGACATTTCTCTGAGTGATTCCTAAAAAGAGAGGGTCCTTCCCTGTCCCACTTCACCCAGATCCAGCCAGAGCCCCTTCTGCTGGGCCGTTCTCCCCGTGGGCTGCATTAACGTCCACTAGAGAGAGATTCAGCTGTGACCGGTGGGGGCTAGGGCACGAGGGGAAGCTGGGCCAGGCAGTGGGCACTGGATCCTGCCCCCATAGGGGAGGTGGAGAAGGAGGCTGGCTTGGAAGCAGGGAGGTCCCCGGTACCCAGCTTCCCGAAGGCCGGCTCAGCACCCACCCCCTCCTCTCTGCCAAGGCACTGGCAGCTTCTGGGGTGCAGACAGGATTAATGATTTGACCGCAGCTGTCGACTGATAACTTAAAGCAATTTGAGGGATAAAGACATAAGTGTACAGCCAAGAAAAAGCTTGTTGTGGGGTTTTACGTTCTCACACCCCTGGGATGGGGCCGGATGGAACCCAGGGTGTCTGTGGGTTGGATTAGGAGAGCTGGGTGGGCAGTGGAAGACAGAAGAGGGTAGGAGGGAGGGCTTGGCTGCCCCTGCCCTGTTGACCTTGAAAGTGACCTTAGCAGGGGGCGTGTCGATGGGAGGGAGTCACGGGCAATGAGTCCACAGCTGGGTCCCTCCAGGGCTAGAGCAGGAGGCAGAGTTTTCCTGATTTCCGTGCTCACAGCCGAGACCTGGAGAGCGAGGGCCAGGACGCCAGCCACACGGTCCGCAAGTCCTGCCTGCCCTCCCTGGCCAGGGCCGGGGCTGTCGCCTGCCCCCGAATGCACTGCTCTTTCTTTACATTTTCCCTGCTTGGATCCCTGTCTCTTCCGCACCTCCCGAGCAGAGGCTCAGCAACGCCTCTGCCTCAGTGGACAGCCCTCCCCTGCTCTGCCCTTTTCTCCGCCTGGTCATACCACCCCCACCAGCGGCTTCCCGAGCGACCAACGTGCGCTGGAGGCTGTGGAAGAGGCTGGTGCCTGAGCACAGGACCCGTCTGCACCCAAACAGCTCCTCATGGCGCCTGCCCTGTTCAGTGATGGTGGATGCTGGAGGATGCGGGCAACAGCGAAACACACCAGGATTCTTGTCCCCGAGGGGCTTCTGTCCCTATGGGCAGGGCAGACATCACCCCAGGAAAAGGATCACGGGATATCCGGGGGAGGGGCCCGACTTCCCAAGGAGTGACCAAAGAAGGTGCCACCAAATAGGCAGGGTTTGTGTGGAGCTGAAGAGGGAGTGGAGATTGGGGAGAGGGGTAGAGGGGCGAGGCGAGCAGTGGCCCTGAAGGGCAGCGTGCCCAGTGCACCCAAAGGATGGCCAGGTCAGCAGAGGCGAGAGAAAGGAAGGGTCGCTGGCAGGGGAGGAGGTCGGGACGGCGACAGAGGCCAGTGAGTGGAGAGTCTTTTCGTCCCCTTGAGCTGGGAGTGGCGGGCAGGTTTACAACAGGGACCCATGACCTCGCTTCCCCCTGAAGACTCACTCTGGCTGCGTGGAGAACAAATTGCCAGCTGCAGTGACCCAGGGAGCGATGGTGGTGGCTTAGAAGGCAGTGGCCACCGTGGTGGTGCCGAGCAGTGGTCAGACCCGGGATATATTTGGGCCCAGCAGAATCTGCTGACCCACCAGACGTGGGTGGGCGAGAACAAAAGGAAACTACCGCTCGTCACTGGCTTCGCGGATGCTTCCCGAGGTGGGGCACTTTGTCCAAAGCCGTCCCAGCTCCGTGCACACGGTGGGCTCTCAGAAATATTTGGTGAATGACGACTGATTACATGAATGAATGCGTGACTCAGAACAGATGTGTGGGGATTGTAAACGGCAGTGACCTGCCAATGCCCCGTGGCGAGAGACACTGCAGCTGGCGTGGGGAAGGCAAGCCAGGCCCCTGCGATGGGGCCCCAGTGGCATCCGGTCTCTCTCTTCTGAGGCCCAGGCCAGCGAGAGGCCAGCCGATCCTCTCCTTGGTCCTTCAGGGAAGTGACCCTGGCATTCAGGGCCGAGACCCTTCCTGTCCCAAATGTCTCCTCTGCTCGGCGCACGGGGGACAATTTTGCTGCACCTCTGAGAGATGGCAAGGGGTCCCACAGCCCAGGTCCCCATTGGGAGCTGAGCGTCTGCAGAAAAAGAGACAGTGGACGCAACAGTGTAACACAGTTGCTCTGGTTAGCTCAAACCTCCAGGGCCTCATCCAGGAAGCCCTCCTAGGTTGGTTGTCTGCCTCCTACCAGCCCAGACACCTTTGCTTTGCCAGGGTGTTGGTAGCTAAGACACGTCTGTGGGCTCTGCAGGTCCCTGGCTCACCCTCTCCAGCCCCAGAGCTCAGGGGTTGCGAAGTCTCAAGGTCAGGTGTGCGGCTCAGGAGAGATTTGTTGTCTTCCTGTCGTTTGGGGGAAGTGAGGATCAGCAGAATGAAGGCTGGGAGCGGAGCCAGGCGGCGCGGGCCCTGGTCTGCTCTCCGGCCCCAGTGTCTCCAGGGAGCTCCCAGGAGGGTGGAGACACCGAGAAATTCTGAACTACAACTCACATGGCTCAGCCGCTGGGACACAGCTTCCCCCGAGCATCTATGCCTCCAGGGCAGGGACGGGCCTGCGCACCACAGGGAAGGAGACCGAGAGGCCCTGAGAAGGCACGCAAGCGGCCAGCGCCACAGCCTGGAGCCCAAGGTCCCCACAGAGAGAGGCCAGGGCTCCCCCGGCTGGGAGAGGGCGTGGAGCCCCCCTTCGGAGGGAACAGGCACTGTGCTAAGGGCGACTTGGGGGCCTGCCCCAGACCTGGGAGCAAAGGGCCGGCCCCTCTTTAGCCATGGACCCCCAGCTGGCCCCAGGGAAGTCCAGGGCCAGTGAGGCCGCCCTGCTGCTCCTTGTCCTGCCAGGTGCACTGACCGCCAGGCAAGCAGGGAGCCCCAGAGGTCCCCAGGGCGTGGGTCTCTCCTTCCTTCACCACAGCGGGAGTCTGGGACCTCCCAGCACCGAGACCCTCGTTCCCCTTCAAGGCCGGAGCTCCCCGGTCTCCTGCAAGGGGCTGCATCTCTGACTCAGGGTCCCGCATGGCCTCCCAGGAGGCACAGTCCCTGCCTCCGGCATCTGATTGCTACGGCTGCCGGTGCCAGCTTGCAGCACCTGAGCCCTGCACCTGCCTAGTGAACTGGCCCTCTGAGGCTCCCCAGGCCTAACCCCAGCCTTACCCCCTTTACTTTGCCCTACCCTTCTCCTCAACGACTTCCTTATAGGAATTCAGACCCAATTCATTGTTTCAGGGCCACTCTTCCAGGAAGCCTTCCCTGACTACTCCCATGCTGACCTTGACCTTTCCTTCCTGCAGATTTTAGGCCAGGGGGCCGTATGGTCACATTCTGCTGGCTTGCATGTTAGGGAGACATCCTCTCCTGCCAGCTAAATTGTACAAGGCCTACATATAAGACTCAGGGTTCACTAGTGCTTACTGAACGGAAGGCAGGGATCATTTAGCTACCAGGCACCTAACTGTTGCCTCAGACTCTCGTGGACACATCCTGGTGGAATCAGAACCCCAATTCAGGTCTGCTGGGGACCCACAGCATTCCAAAACTTCGTGCTGTCAGCACGCAGCTGTTTCTAAGGACTTGTTTCCTTGCACAAGAGGCGTGGCAGCCCCCACCCCAACCCCCAGCAGGAGAGTCCGGGCTCTGGTCTTGGAGGAGCACGGAGAGTGGGGAGGAGGGTCCCGCCTGTCCTGCCTGACCCACCTGCTGCCCCCGAGCTCTGAGGGGGCTCTGGCCTGCAGTCGCATTAGAGCCGGCCACAGACTCCCCTGAGCAAGCAGGGATGGGGGAGCTGGTGTCCACAGCACGGCCCCTTCCTGGCTCAGCCCCTCACTCTCTGTCCTGGGGTCCTGACATCCCAGCAAACCTGGGACTCTCTGGGGCCTTAGGGTGCTGGGAGAATGCCTGTTCCCCGCCCTGGAGCTGGTCATGCAGAAACCAGGCAGGGTGGGGGCGGAGACTGCTCCCTCTGCTCAGGGAGGAAAATGCCGAATGGCGGGAGCTCCGAGATTGGACTCATTTAGAATCAGATGGAATAAGGAGCCCAGGATAAGAGGCCCAGATGTTTGCCACATGTGCTTGTCCTGGTGTTGCCACGGCAACTGCCCCATACATAGGGCTGGGGTGGCTGCTGCACACTGGGCCCCCAGCTGAGCTCAGCACCACCCAGGTAGGGCACCCTTCGACCAAGAACAGCCCAGCTCCGTTGTCATGGCAACCACGGGCCTGGGCGCCGGAGCCGCAGGCAGGCTGTACCGGAGCGCAGGATGGACACGCACACACGCACTGCCTGTGTGAGCGAGTGTCCTGGGGCACGGGCCCACCTAGGGTCAGGCCACAGCCGTCTATGCAGGCTTGCTTGTTTCAAGGTCACAGAATCAGAACCTCAAGTGGGACCTTAAAGGTAACCCTACTCCCCGTTCCACCTTGGGGCAGAACCGATCAGACCGTAACAGACCCTGTGACCTCACTGTGGGCCAGGCACGGCCCCCAAGGGAGGAGAAACACAGGCGGAGGCCTCAGGTTGTCTTGCCAACGCAGTGTGGACACCGCTAACTCAGAACAGACTGGCTGAGCCTGTGCTTACAGAAGCCACCATCGGACATCGGCAGATGCTGTGTGCATGGTCACGTTCCCCAGTCTGGGGAGCCCCGGGTGACATCCACCAGGTTCTCAAATCCGTTCTGGACCCCAAAGAACCAGAGACAAGTGCAAAAGAAGAGATGACTTCGCTCACTGGGGCCGGAGCCACCAGGGCCGCTGAGCCGAGAAACCTGGCCCCACCCCCCGAAAACAGACTTCCTGTCTCTGTGCTGCACCCCTTCTCCGTTGGCATCTCGGTGCCTTGGTCCCGGAGCTCCTGCCCACCGCCCGCCTGCCTGCTGCCCCGGACTTTGTCTCAGGAAGGCCACGGCGGGCGCGGGGGTCAGCCCCTGCCTCTGGACAGCGCCTGTCTCCCCAAGGCCAGGCCTGGGGCTGCTCTCCGTCCATGTCCACAGGGACTGTGCGTGCATGCTAGGGAGCCCCCAACCTCGGGATGTCCGTCACGCACACGGCAGAACACTCTCATTGCCTCCTGCCCAGCGTGCGTGCAGGGGGTGGGTTTTCCCACTGAAGGCTCGGCTGAGCGTTTCTCTGCCCTGGGGTTGGGGGGGGACGACCATAACTCGCTGACCCTTCCTGGATCCTGCCTTTGACTCTGCAGCTCCCTCTGAAGCCCAGGAGCAGGCATTCAGGAACCACGCACAGGAAGTGGGTTTTGACCCCTTCTGTCTGGGGTCTCGCAGCACTTCATCTAGAGGGGGCTGCTGTGTCAATGTCACCCCCAGAGCTCTGCCTGTCAAGCAGTGCTATGGGGCGGGGAGCGCCTCTCAGCAGGGGACCCCAATCCTCTTACTGAGGGGGTGGGACCATGCGTCCCAGCTTCTGTCCACTCACTGGTGCCTTGGCCTTGACCGGTTCAGGAGCCGGCACTCCTTGGGATAAAGCCCGCTTTGGCCTCCCCACGGAGACCCTCATTAGGAGCGGGGCTCGCCAGCCTCTGCAAAGACCACCAAGCCAGGGCCTGGAGGCCACGCTGCATGAGCCTGGAAGTACAGCAGTGGTGAAGTCCGGCAAACGGTCTACCTCCCGCGGCTGGGACCGCTCCCCGGCCCCTGGATCACACCCTCGATCCACCGACCCGAGGGGGGCACTTCAAGACAAGTTTCTCGTGGTGTGAAGAGAATCTGAAATCCACGCCCCCCTTTTCCACCAAGTCACGCCCATGAACATTCTGTGGAGCCCTCGTACGCGTGGCTTCCAAGTTTTCTGGTAGTGAAATAAACTCATCTTGCAACCCCGTGTCCCACATCAGACAGTGTGCCTCTCTCGGTCGTCTTAGCCCCAGGGCGTGGCCTGGCCCCGGGGCACAGGGAGAACCCAGCAAGGGGCTGGGGCTGAGCTGTGTCCCTGGAGACCTGCCAGGAGGGAGGCGAGGCCGGGGCGGACAGGTGCTGGGTAGGGGGCTGATTCTCTAGGATTCTCTTCCTCACCCATCCATCTTGTCAGCCTGAGGGACTCAGAGGGAGGGGCGTGGCCCCCAGACCGCTGTTGCTTGTATCCCAGGGCATGTCAGGAGGCCGGAACTCTGCTGCTGCTTTTTGGGATGGGAGACATACGCTCCAGAGGCACCATGTACAGCTGCACAGGCTGTGCACTGCACAACTCCAGACTACAACGTAACCTTCCCAGGGTAGACGTCTGGGTTTGTCCTGAGACCCCCCACCCCTGCCAGGCTTCTGGGGTAGCGCCTGGGGGCACTACTTGGCGGGCAGAACGTGAGTCCCCTCCGCAGCCGGGTCTCGCAGGGCAGCACCAAACACAGAAGCGTGGCCTCGCCTGCCCTCGTGTGCACTCAGCCCCGTGCACAGCCTCGCACACACCTTCTCGAATGGGAGCAGTCTGGGGAGGGCCCAGCGCAGGGACGCCATGGGGGAAGGGAGCTCCAGGCTGTCTGTCACAGCTTTCCTTGACTCTCCACTGAAATGGCTCCTATGGGGCCCACGTCAATGCATGGAGAGAAATCCCGCCCCCAGCAAAACGCTGGGATGAGGCAGTCACTCAGCCTCTGCCCACTCAACCTCCCCCAAAGAAATGGAATCCAGATCCCCCCAGAGTCCACTTCAGGCCCCTGCAGCAGGGACCTTGGACGACCTCACTCCCCCCGGTCTCTGCCTCCACGGACCCTGCCAGAGCCTGGCTCTGCCGTGCCAGGCACCCGCACCCACTGCCTCCCCCAGCCTCCCCGGGCACCCCCACACTTGAGGCCTCTTCCCCTCCAATGAGGTCATGACTTCTGAAGACTGGCTGCCTGGGTTCCCGTCCTGGCTGAACCACCTTGGCCAAGTCACTTAACCTCTCTGTGCCAGTCTGCTCACCTGTAAAGGGGGCGTGACCATAACAGCACTTCCTTGGGGCTGATGTCATGGTGCAGCAGGGGAAGCAGTCACCTGCAGTGCTGCCATCCCAGCGCCAGTTCAAGTCCCGGCTGCTCCACTTCCCATCCAGCTCTCTGCTATGGCCTGGGAAGGCGGCAGAAGATGGCCCAAGTCCCTGGGCCCCTGCACCCACATGGGAGACTAGATGGAGTTCCTGGCTCCTGGCTTTGGCTTGGCCCAGCCCTGTCTGCTGCGGCCATTTGGAGAGTGAACCAGCAGATGGAAGATCTCTCTCTCTCTCTCTCTCTCTCTGTCACTCTGCCTTTCAAGTAAATACATAAATTTTTACAGAATAATAATAACAGCACTTCCTTTGGCAAGTGGATGAAGCAGTTCTGTACACCAGGTACCCTTCTAAGCCCTTTACCTACACTGATGCATTTTATCCTCAAGGAGCCCTGTGACCGTCCTGTGCACAGTGATCCAACGGCCTGCCCAGGGTCACCCAGGGGGAGGTGAGAAAGCCGTGATGCGGGCCAGAGAGTCACGCTCCACCCTGAGAAGAACAAAGGTGCCACGCCAGTGCCTGGCTCCTGGGACAGCACAGGAGTGGCCGCTGCTGCCGCTGGGGTGAGGGCGACCTCCTGTCTCAGCACCTGGACGCCTGCTCGGCCCAGAGGCCAGGTCTGCTTACCAAGCAGGTCCGCACGCCCCCTCCCCAGCCTCCACCCCGCGCTCCCACGCCTCCTCTGCTTGCAGCGGCGCTGACCTGCGCAGGGCCCTGAAAACACGGCTAATTTCATCCGCCCCTGAACCGCTCTGGTTTCTAGTCAATTGTTTGCATGTCCTCTCTCCACGGATGGCTGGGACTTCAGGCTCATCCTGGCCCGGGAGTCCCCAGAGGGCAGGGAAGGCAGCGCTGGGAACTCAGCATGGAATGACACAGCCTTGGAGGGACAGAGAGGCCAGTGACATCCTGGGGCCTACTGGGGCTGAGGGAGCTGCCAGCAGGGCTAGCTGACCCCATTTTCTTCCCCACGGCGTGGCAGGGGCTGAGGGAGACCGAGGCGAGCTGGGAGGGTACAGCTAGCACAGTGAACACCCGCGGTGGATGGAAGACAGGGGTGGGGGCATCAGGAGGCTGATGTGGCCTCTGACAAGCAGGGGCTCAGCGCCTGCCACGGCCCCCAGCTGTGTATCTTCAGACAGGTGTTCTCAAGTCTCTGAGCCTAAGCTTGCTTGTCTGTCACGCAGGGTAATAATACAGCCTTCCAGGGGCCAGCGCTACAGTGTAATGGGGTTAAGCTGCCACCTGCAACACCAGCATTCCATATAGCGCCAGTTCGAGTCCCGGATGCTCCACTTCTGATCCATCTCCCTGCTAATGCACCTGGGAAAGCAACAGAAGATGGCCTGAGTCCTTGGGCCCTTGCACCCACGTGGGAGACCTGGATGAAGCTCCTGGCTCCTGGCTTTGGCCTGGCCCAGCCCTGGCCATTGCAGTCACCTAGGGAGTGAACCAGCGGATAGAAGCTACCTCTCTCTCTCCGTCTCTCTCCTTCTTTTTCTCTGTAACTCTGCCACAAATATAAATCTTAAAAATAATAATAATAATAATAATATCACCTTCCAAGGGCTGAGCCAGGTTTCATGAAGGACCTCATGTAAAAGGCCCAGCACAGAGTGGGTGCTCAGGCCATGGTCACCGCTGTGTTTTGGGAGTTTGGTGTCTGGGGAGTCGCGGGGCAGCGATGCTGGCCCCAGTCCATCTGCTGGCTCCCCATGCAACCACCAGCAGCCATTTCTCCTCTCTCCCCACGGAGAGTGAGGGAACCTGAGTGACCCGAAAGGCTCAGCTGCCCATGTTCAAGCCCAAGCCCTTGGCAGTCCAGGCCTGCAACTCCCGGGGGCCCAGCGCGAGCCCCTCTCCCAGAGGGTGCGGGCACCAAACCTCCCTCCTGCAGGAGCACAGTAGCGCTGCGCGTGTTCCTAAAATGGACACCCGCGCCCGCTCCCAAAGCCGCAGCATAATTGCAGCTTGAAGATGGAGTCGGCTCCACAAGGGAGAAGCAGGCGGAAGAGGAGCACAGCGAGGCCAGCCAGAGGCCAGTCGCCCTGCGGCCCGGTGCTCTCCCCACGCCAGCCCTGGGAGGAGGAGGAGGAGGCAGGGGCAGGCTCTGGCTGGCTCCCGGCGACAGATGTTAGGACGAGAGAAGATCCACTCAGTGCTCACTCAAACATGCCACAGAGTGGAAGTAATTAAGGAATCCGTGTAAACCCCAGGGCGACCTTTCCCGGTCCTGCTGCACACAGCCTTGTACATGTGGGCACGTGGCGGCAGCGGCGGCGGCGGCTCCGGCTCCCCTCGGTTGTCCAAACAGAGATCCGACAGCAGCCTGGACACCACTTGGCCTGGACAGCAACCGTGGCTATGGCCAGCACGGGGCTCTCAGCAGCAGAGGGCCAGGGCACACGTACAGACACCCACGGGCTGGGCACTTGCACCCTTGTCCCAGGGCACAGGCAGCAGGAGCAGCTGCTTGGGGACGCAGCCTTTGGGATGTAGGAAGGCCGTCCCCATCACCTGCTTGGTGGCAAGTCATCATGGGACATTCTGTCCTTGCTATAGAATGAGGGCAAAGCTTCATGTGGACTCTCCGCAGGGTTCAGGCAGGGCAAGGGAGGAAGTGTCCCAAGGCTGAGAAAGCTCTTGGACCTTCTTGGGCTCCCCTCAAGGACCCCTACCTCCCACCCCCAAGCAGTGAACCTGGAGGCCAGAGAGGACCTGGCTGGCCACAGAGCAGGGGAGGGCTGGGGGCTCCTCCCCAGTCGGTGGAGCAAGAGGAGGCTCGCGGAGGGCAGACGAGCGCCGGGGCTGCTGACTTTGCATCCCTCCCCTGAACAGTCAGCTGACTCATTCACCCAGCACGGATCGCCTGGCCCCGAACTAGGCGACGGAGATCAAGCCGAGTTCGTGGACAGGAAGGGAAGACATCTGAGCTCCGGGAAAAGCACTGTCCCCTGCCACCCCGACACTGCTACGGGGACAACACAATCGGTAACTGTGAAATAACTGTGCTGGCTTCTGGGAGTGCCGCGACACTCGGGTACGGCACGGTCCTCCCCCAGGCGCCCAGTTCTCCTCCTCCAAGGCAGCGGTCACAAGGCCGGTGGCCTCCTTGTGGGAAAGACCCGGCGGGCGAGACAGGACTGGTTGCCGAGTTGAACCCTCTAGACAAATCTCGCTGGAAGGAGTCCCCCGACCATGAACTCCTTGGAGGCAGGACAAAGCTGTGCCCATCTGCTACCCCGGTGTCCAGCAGTGTCCGGCTCCAGGTGGACACTCGCCGAGGGTGTGCTGGTTGGATGAATCAGCTCTGGCAGGCCCTGAGTGGCTCGGCGGTGGAAGAGCGAGGTGTAAAATGGAACTCTGGGCTGGCTCCTCTCTTCTGTTTTCAGGCACAGAGGAGTGGGGGCTCCCACGCATAGCAGGCCAGTCCCAAATCTCTGTCCATCCAACCCACCAGAGAGCTCGGTGTGTCCTTGGCGCAGATGGCGCACCACAACATCTGGTGAGTGCCAGAGTCGGGCAGCACGGGGAGCCTTGCTCCCTTTCCCGAGGAGCCTTGGAGGAAGCAGCGTCTCCACTGCTCTGGGTGACAGCCACCTCCCAGGGGGCACGGGCGCGCAGGGGCCCGGCACCCTCCCCGGAATCTGCCGGACGCTCTCGGCTCTCGCAAGGCGAGGTGGTCTTCCAGCTGGCAAGCCCGGGGCGGTCCTCACGCCAGGCTGCCGCAAATGTGAAAAGTCTTCTCAGCAACTCATCGGATAACAATTAGGCTCCGACACTGTGGCGGCCACATAAGGAAGCCATTACACTAACAAAACTGCAAATGTAAAAATAGAGCTCCACATAGTTTCCTGGTTACCACA